GTATATAATTAACATCATTATCTTTACCTAATCAAGCAGGTATTCATGACCTATGTGGCCAATGCAAGGCTAAGGATGAAAATATGTTATGATGGGAATACAAAACTAACAAAGGCAAAAACGAACAATTAAGTACTAAACCTGAACAGTGAAGCAGACTATGGTTAGTGAAGATTTCCTAAGCAGGTAGGTGAAACCATCTGCTAAATGTCACGTCCCTTTTCAGGCCTCAATTTTCATGACCCCTGTCACATTTCACACTGTTGACCAGCACGTCCTTCTTCAAATTCTCCCTTTTTTCAACTTGTGACCCTAGATCATCCTGGTTCTTTTTACCCCAGTGATCCTGAATGCTCTAAAAGCTGTCCTTCAATCTCTTTACTGTGATCAAGATAGATTTGGAACCTAGATCTTTGGGTTCTACTTCCAATTCCAATGGAGAGAACTGGGTTTAAGTATCTTTTACACTTGAAAATTATGTGACCATGAACAAATAACTAAATGTCTTGAAGCTCTACTTTTCTCGTTTGTAAAGTAGGGAAAATACCTTTCATATCTACTTTACAGAATTAATAGGGTAATTAAATGAACCTATGTGTGCAAGACAGAGAGGTGTCCAATTGAAGGCCCTAACTAGATTAAAATGTAATTGAGATGTGTTTAACAAAATAGATAAAATTATTATGCAACACAGGTAATGTGAATTTGTGATTTTCTAAGTCAATGTATGTTTCTATTTGAGTTTGACAGCACTGATGTAAAGGATTTTATAAATTTTAACATGGCAACTAGGTGGCATAATGGATAGCATGCTGGGCCTGGAGTCAGGAAACCCCAAGTTCAAATCCAATCTCAGACATTTACTAGCTCTGTGACTCTGGGCAAGTCATTTAACCCTGTTTGCTTCAGTTTCTTCATCTGTAAAATGAGCTGGAGAAGGAAATGGCAAAGCACTCCAGTATCTCTGTCACGAAAACCCTAAATGGAGTCACAAAGAGTTGGACATAACTGAAACAACAACATTAAAGTATCCTATTAATGTTATTAACAATAATAATGGGCATGCCCCCAAAGTTCCCTCTCCAGTTACATTTTTTCCCATAACAAGTTCAATTCATGTCTGCCTCATTAGCCCCATACTCCTTTCTAAGATCCAGTATCATATCTCTACTTGCTGCCTGTTTCCACTTAAATGTCTTGACAGCTATTCAAAGTACAAACTCAACATACTTCCTCCAAAACTACCCCACTGAATTTTTTATAAGTTAGCAAAGTATGATGGGGAAAAAAATTACTCAACCTTAAGTTAGAAAGATTTGGGTTCAAATCCCAAATCTAACACTGACTAGCTATACCATTATGAGCAATTCACTTAATCTTTTCTTCTTCCTCCATACATAATGGGAAATCCCTGTATCACACTTCAAAGGCTTGTTCAGAGGATCAAAGACTAAAAGCTGGAAGAGACCTTGGGTCCTCTAGTCTAGGCCCCTCCTTTACAGATGAGGACACTGAGGTTCAAAGAGCTAAAGGGACTGGCCCAAGATCACCCAGGTTCTAAGTGGCAAAGCTGTTTCTGAACCCAAGTTTCAAAATCCTGCACACATGCTCAGAAAGAAAGTACCTGAGGAACCTTAAACGTAGTGGGCATCTATTTAAAAAAAAAAAGTACTTCACATATAAAGTATTATTTGATTTGTACCCTACCAGGTACATATCCTACCAGGATAAGTACTATAGGTTTTATTCTCATTTTATAAATAAAGAAACCTAGGCTCAAAGAGTCTAGTAACTTAACCATGTTCATTTACCTGGGAAATTGTCAGTCAAGGTTCAAATTCAGGACTTTCCTGAAGGCAAGTTCAACACCCTTCCCACTAAGTCACACTGAATTACACAAAACCAATTTCATCTTAAGAAAAAACTGCAAGTCAAAAAGGAAATAGGACTGTTATTCATCTGCCATCTGTTTACCTTTCTACCCATAAAGACTGCATACTATTTATAACGGGAAAATTACCTTATGATGTTCAACTGTAAAGGCAGCTTGTGTAGTGGATGGAGGCTTCATCTACGAGAATGGAAGATTAAGGGTAAAGCCCCAATCTCTGACCATACTGGTTGTGGGACCCACATCCACATATCAAGCCCACCATGCAACTCTAAAACTAAGTTGCAGGGAAGGTGCATTAGAAAAGGTTGGTTCCTCATAGGGGTTAACTTACCAATTAAATCTCAAAGCTGATCTTAAACCCCACTCATTTCCACTTCTGTTTTGTTTTTTTTTTTAATTCAGAGGATATTGCTATTTCTTTAGGCACTACCATTTTAGAAACTAGATTAAAACAAAAAAAAAACTTCATATCTTATTCATAAAAGATTTTAAAAATGTATATATAGATGCATATATTGTTTAAATGAACAAATTTTATTCATGTAAACTTTGCTTTATTAAGACAATAAAGATGCAAGTCCTAATTATCTCTTGCAAGAATATCATTTCAAGTCCAAATATTAACAATTAAGAATATCCAACAAAATAACGAAGACCTAAGATTTAATTTTAAACAATCAAATGCATGTGTATGTGTTTTAAATATTAATTCTCTAACACTGAAACTGAAACTTCCCCTTTAAGAAAACGTTTTAAACAAAAATTTTCCTTATTGAACATATATAAGTGGGACTAAAAAGGTTTAACTCAGACTTAAAACTATTCCTTATCTCATTAGTTTTTATAACTAAAAAGTTTATTTCAAAATCTTGATTGGGCACTCACTGAATTAACCATTTAAATTTACAATGCCTTTTCCCCCTTAAATGTGAAATATACATTCTATACAAGAAACTTTCGATCAACTTCAAGTTCTAAATAGATGGCTTTTTGCTTTAAAAAAAAAAGGCACTAAAACAATACTTTTTATTCCTATAGAAAACATACCAATCCCAACAACAATGCAAAATGGACTAGAAAACATTCATACCATTTATGAAATACCATAAAGCAGCAGTTCTCAAAATATTAGTCCACAAGACCATTTCTGGGGTCCCTTAGGTCAAAATTCTTTTCATAATAACACCAAAATGTTTTAATTTTTAACATGGTAAATATTGATAGACATATTCCACAAAAGCAAAAGCTCTTCGAGGTCCTCAATTATTGAGAGTGTTAAGAGGTCCTCAACCAAAAACTTTGAGAACTCCTGCCTTAGTAATTTCCCTTATTTCAATTCGAGGACTAAACAAAAATCAACATCATGCGGAAAGACAATATACTCTTAACTGTTGAGGGAATGAATTGTTCTAATTAACGGAAGTATCACATATATAACACTGTGATGACCAATTCTCAAAGAATTAAAACATTTTTTTCTTCAAAAAAAAAAAGCCCAATAATGAAATTCCATTGAACCTAATTCAATCTTTCTCTAATGAGTCTAATAGCATCATTACAAGCATTAGTTAGTTATATAGTACTGGAGATGCAGAAGAGCTAACTGATTACTATAACAACCTGAAAGCTGCATGAATTAATTTTTTGAGCAAGTCTCTTGAGTTTGTTTACTGGACATTACTCCTGCTTTCATAAAAGGCTCACTTATTTTTAAAAATTCTAGTTAGGCTCTCTCATTGTTCGGATTGTGAATAAGCAGTTATCTTACCTCATATTCATTTGCAAAAATGGCCTATAACTATCTCACAGTTATAAAAACCATTCAGACATTGCTGGGGAAAACCGAAGGCTTAAAAGTAATGAATATTACTGCAAACTTTTTGCTACTAACCACTTTTTAAAATAGATTTTCTGTTTTTCTTCCATCTTACCAAATAATTTCCAAGAACCAGGATCATCCTGGATGCGCTTTGAATTTTCCAAAACCCAGAGCCACTGAACTGTGACACTTGTAACTGCCACTAAGAAAAAAAAAATGCTAAAGCAGGTAAGACTTGGCAGGTCTCATATTCGTCTATTTACCCAAATTTCAGGTTTGCCCTATTAGGGGCAGTAAATGCAGTATTTATTTTCTGTCACGCCACACTTCACTCTGGGGTTTATTTTTCCTCCGGTGCAATTTCTTCTTTAAACAGAGCCAAACAAACAAAAACAAACAAACAAACCCACCAGGTAATCTTTTTATTTAGTTGCACATTAAGTCAGAATAGCCACCACAAAAAAACACTTTGCAAATTCCGGAGAGTGCCTTCCACTTAAATTAGTCAAGAAAAACCTCGAAAGAAAATCTCGTGTTTAAGTGATGGCTTTCTAGTCATCCTTAAAGTTCCTAAAACGGGCTTTCCCCTTCTTTTTCTTTCTTTTTTTTGGTTGCTGGCTCTAAATCTTTAATCTGTTAACCAGCAGGAAGCAACAGCATCACTCAGCCGCCCCGGACTTTTGCTTTTGAACCCCTTCTCTAGGCGTGTATTTCCAAGGCTCGCCCCGGAGCGCGTCCGGCCAGAGCGCTCGCTTCCTTGGCCCTGGACACTGCGCCCCACGCCCAGAACACCTGGCCCGGGGAGCCCGCCCGAGGCTCTGCTCCGACCCCTTGGGGGTCTACTCACGCAAGGCGCTGCAGCCCCCGGGGTTCCCCTAAAGGATCCCCGGTGGCACGGGGGGAGCAGAGAAAAGAAAACCTCGAAAACCGGACCCCCGGGTTCTCCTTTACCTGGGGTGGGGGCGGCCCCTGTCCCGGACGCGGCATGGGATGCCCCCAAGTCCCGGAGCTCCGCACGCCCCCCCGACCTCCCTCCCCGGGAGCCAGCCCCGAGCAGCCCGGGCACCCTCCACACTCGCCTCCCCCACAGCCCAGGCGGAAGCCCGTGAAGCCGCCAACCGGAGCTGGGACCCGCTAACCTGCCCCCGGAGCCCGCGCTGCCGCCTGCCCCCGGGCGCCCGGGCTGGCTCGAGGGCTGTCAGCGGCAGCGCGGTCCTTCACCCCGGCTGCTCCCTTTCCCCGCCCGCCCCCGGCCCCGGCTTCCCGGCTTCCCGGCTCCTCCTATACCTGAGCCTCTCCGGAGAGCGAGCGAGAGCAGTGAGGAGCCCCGGCGAGGAGGAGGCGGAGGAGGGGGCGGCCCAGGCCTGCGGCTGCCGCAGCTCACTCCGGCTTCTCCGCGAGGAAGCGCCCGGCTGAGCAGAAATTTCCCCGCTCCGCCCGCAGCCTAGAGACCGAGCCCCACTAGCCAGCCGTCGCCACCACCGCGGCCGCCGCTCTTCCCGCGAGATCCCAGCCCGGGGAAGGGGCAGAGAGAGCGGGAGTAGGCGGGGAAATTGGATCGACAGGCTCGCTTACCAATCAGCGACGAGTCTAGGGAAGGCGGGACTCGGAACCTCCTCCCGCCAATTGGAAAAGAGGAGAGGCGGGGCCACCTCCCTCCAATAGGGTTTCGTGAGAAGGTGAAATTGAAGGGGGTGGGGATAGGTAGTTGACAATAAGAGGCGGGAGAGAGGTACCCCATTGTAACAGAGTAAACCAGTCAGGTAGTTGAACTTGAGGTTGGAGCTTCTAGGCCGCCGTAGACACACCTGAGGCTCCCGGCGTGATGCGTCCCAGAGTAGCCTGACAGCTGCCTTCTATGCGTCTTAAAATAAGACTTTGTTTCCCCTGTCTTCTTCCCTCTATAAAGCTCCAGCCGCGACCCCCACCCCGCCCATCGCTGACCCCCGCCCCAACCCGGAGCCAATAAGCGGGGCCATTGTTCTTTCCCGCCTGGCCTACGACCCACTCTTTGTCTATCTCTTTCGCCTTCTAAGGCTCCTCCTCACCTGCCCGGGCATCTGCACTGCCCTGGCCCCACCCCAGGCGCCTGCACAGCCTTGCCCGGGCTTCTCTCAGGGGTGCCGAGCCCCGGATTTGCTCTTGGGAGATTCCCCTTACTCTCCTCATTCTACGTTCTTGGTCCTTTGCTGCTCTTCGTTACGAGAGGGTGACCACCCCTGGCCGCCCCCTCTGTCTCTCATTGCCCCCTGGAGCCTGAGCCTCCTCGAGATTGCAGCATCAAGGGATGTCAGAGCTGAAAGGGACCATAGAGACCTGATTTGACAGAGGAGGAAATGGATGCCCTCTTTCTTCTAACCCTACATTTTCATCTTCCCAGGAGTTCTTAACCTTTTTGCGTGTGTGTAGGAAGTACCTTTTAGTAACCTAATGAAACCTATGAACTCCTCAGAACAATCATTTTAAATGAATGAAATAAAGTACACAAGGTTCCTAAGGAAAACGATCTTATTGAATAATACTATTATCAAAACGTAGTTGATAGAGTGCTGTACTTGGAGTCAGGAAGACCTGAGTTCAAACACAGCCTCTGCCACTTATTAGCTGTGTGACCCCTAGGCAAGTCACTTCACCTGTTTGCCTCAGTTTCTGTATCTGTGAAATGAGGGTAATAATAGCAGCTTCCTTCCAGAGTTGTTGTAAGGATCATTGTAAAGCACTTTGCACAATACCTGAGACATACTAAGTGCTACTATGTAAATGTTAGTTGTTATCATCATCATCATCATCATCATCATCATCATCATTGGACAGTGCTGGACTTGGAGTCAGGAAGCCCTGAGCTCAAATCCTGCCACAGACATGCACTAACTGTATGACCTTGGGGAAGTCACTTAACTGCTCTTGGCCTCAGTTTCCTCATCTGTAAAATGGGGATAATAGTACCTACTTCACAAGGTTGTTGTGAGGATCAAATGAGACACTGTATGTATTTTGTAAACTTTAAAGTGCTATATATGCTAGCTATTATTATTATAAAAACAAGTTCACAGACCCCAAGTTAGGAAACACCGATCTCCTAATCAATCAGTAGACAATTAAATGCCTACTATGTGCCAGGCACTGTGCTAAGCACTGGGGATACAAGAGCCAAAAGACAGCCCCTGCCCTCAAGGAGTTTATAACCTAATGGGAGAGACAACATACAAATATATAAAAAGCAAGCAATGTACGGGATAAATAGGGAATAATTAACAGAGGGAAGGCACTAGAATGAAGAGGGGTTGGGGAAGGCTTTTAGTAAGAGATGGGATTTTAATTGGAACTTATAGGAAGCTATGGAGGTCAGTAATGGGAGAGGAGGACAAAGAGCATTCCAAACTTGGGGGACATGGGCTCCCTATTATCTCAAGGATCCAATACAAAATGCTCTCTTTGGCATTCATGGCCTTTCATAACCTAGCCCCCTACTATGTTTCCAGTCTACTTACTCTCCTACAAGTACTCTTCCCTCCAATGACATTGGCCTCTTGGCTATTCCACAAACAAAACACTTCATCTCTCAGCTCTGGTTCTTGGCATTTTCTCTGGCTTCTCTCATGCTTGGAATGCTCCCCTTCCTCCTCTCTGACTACTCACACTCAGTATCTAAGGCTCCTTTAAATCTCAGCTGATGGAAAATTGCCAGGTGGCTAGCAACTCCAAAGAACAAAGGGAAGTACACATATTTACACAGCCTTAGAGAAGGTGGCAAAAGGGACCTATCAGGTGAGGCTGCTCAGCTACTTTCCTTATTTAAGTTATTGAGTAATAGGAACAGGATGTCAGATGATGGGAGTGGAGGAGGAGACTAACTTAACTTTGAGATAACCTTTGTTGGTGGTGTTGCCCAAATCTAATCTGTTCCCAAGATTAGGTCTGCCCGTCTGGGGTAGAAACACTTTTCGGTAGTTAATTTTGTCAGAACATCTGAATGTCTAGGTAGGACTGCAGGTCCAAGATAATGAAGGCCTCAGTTTGAGATAGAATAACAATAAAATACAGACCAAGAGTCTGTCTTTACTTACACAACCTTGCAGGCTCCATGTCTTTGACCTGTAAGGTTAGTTTTAAATGTTGGAAGAGGGAGAGAAGATAGTTCCCCTAAATTCACAGCACACAAGTTTTGTCCATTTTCTACTAGGTCCTAAGTTCAGTTGTTTTCATGCCGCTGGAGTACAAATACTTTCAGCACTATTTTAGCTCCTTCAGGCAAATTTTTGTCTGACTACCCTACTTATTACAGCTCTATCTTCCTCAATTGAATAGATCTTAGATAACTGTAATGGGAAAAAGCTTGGGATTTGGAAGCAGAGGCTGTGTGTTCAAATTCTAGTTTCAAGAAGACTATGGGATACATGATACTTGAAAAACATCTTTTTGAAGAGCTGTCCTGTGGAAGAGGAATTCCAGAACTGGTCCCCAGAAGGCAAAACTAGGAACAACAATGTCTACAAATTACAGAGAAGTCAATTCAGGCTCAACATAAGGAAAATCTCTTAAAATTAGTTTCTCAAAAGTAAAATACAGCATCTCATGCGGTAGTGGACTTTCAAGCCTCATGTGAGATTTTCAAGCAAACCACTTGTTGAGAATGTTGTAAAGGTGCCTTTACAGACAATCTGTTCAATATACAGTTATCCCTTCCCCATTGAGGGGTGAGGGGTACAGCGCCCCCAAGATCTGGAAAATCTGCATAAAATTTTTGGCCCTCCCTTCAAACCAGAGAAGGTCTGATTTTTTTCTTTTTCTTTCACAGAGTATTTATAGTATCTTATTGTAAAATTTGGGTTGATATTATACAATACTATATATTTTATGCATTTCTGAGTTTCTAAACTTTTTCTGTGCCATCTGCTGGCCTGTCATCTGTGACTTCCACAATACCACTCAAAAATTCCCATTTAATATCTTATGCCAACCTACAATATATTGAAACCTCGATGGGGAAAGTCGCAATGTGGAAGGGATAACCGTGTGTTAAACTAGAAGACCCCTGAGGTCCTGTCTAATTCTGAACCTAGGATATGTACTTCCTAATTTTTACCACCAATGAAAATTTATTCAATACTTTCAACAAACTTTCAAGATATTGTGCTAGGTACTGTGGAATGTGGGTAGATGGGAGAAGAGGGGACTCAAAAATGTATGACACCTGACACTGACCACCCATGCCTGTACTCATAGTGTTTAGGATCTAGTGAAAAAAGCAGAATTATTCAAAACATGATGATATAATGAGGCTAAAAAAAGACCAGAATTTACAAAGTAAATTCAAAAGTATTCATAAAAGTATTCATCTTAAGAAGCTATGATTTCAGAGTTGTTTTTTTATTGCTGAAAATATTTTTAGAATTCCTTTGGTCTTCATACTTAACTTATGAACCATAAGAGAAATTTTATCCCTTGTACTTTTTAAGTACATATTTACTTTTTGTTTGTTTGTCATGCCCAACCTCAAAGCACAAAGATTTACTGACAAAGAAGGTATTCAAAAGAAAAAGGGCAGCTAAGTGGCAAAGTGGGTAGAGTGCCAAGCCTGGAGTCAGGAAGACTCATCTTCCTGAGTTTAAATCCGTCCTCAGACACTTACTAGCTGTGTGACCCTGGGCAAGTCACTTAACCTTCTTTCTCTCAGTTTTCTCATCTGTGAAATGAGCTGGAGAAGAAAATGACAAACCACTCCAGTATCTTTGCCAAGAAGACCACAGACAGGGTCACCAAGAGTTAGACATGACTGAAACAACTGAACAACAACAACAACAAAAAAAGATACTCAGAATAATGTGCCACAAATTCTGAAGGAAATTTCCTAAATCATTGACTATGAGAAGGTTAAAGTTGGAAGAGTCCTTTAATAGTAAAAATGTTTTAATACCAGTTTCACTGGAATGATGTCACACAGGGAGTCAGACTTGAATGAGAAAGTTTTTTTTTTCTTCTTCTTTTTTCTTTTTAGACAGTTGGGGTTAAGTGCCTAACCCAGGGTCACACAGCTAGGAGAAAGTTTTTAATAGGCACAAATAGGACACAGAGAATGAATCCATTCCAAAGAGGGGAGATACACAAAGAAACAAAGGCAGTAGACAGCAAAAAGACAAGAGGGTATAACAAAATAGTACAGTTTTATTAGAGGGTAGTGTATATAAAGGAAAATATCATGTCATGAAGCAAACTAGAAAGATGGGCTGGAGCCAGATTAGGGAAAGCCTCAAATGTCAGGTTAAGCAACTTGTACTATTCAATAAACAGTACAAACCACTGATTTTGAGCAGGTGATTGATTGTGATCAGACCTACACATTGTGAAGATTATTTTGGAAACTGTGTGAGACTGAAGGGGGCAGAAACCGGAGGAAGGAAAGCTGATTACAAACCTATTATAATAGTTTAGGTAAGAGGTAAGGAGGGTCC